TTAGACATATCAGCAGCTGTACCCAACTCCCCGCACCAGTCCACTGACCGGTTCGGATGGTGGCTGGAAGTCGGGAAGGGGAATAGAGAGTGAAGTTGACGGTGCAACGCATTTTCCTCACTAAACACTCTGACGCGCTTGAAGCTATCATGGTGTGCTAAAAGCCGTGGCTTGGAAGGTTCCCGACTGAAAGGATAACTCAGACCGCGCAGGGAGTCCAGTGTGTGTTTTTGTGGAGTGGCTGTCTGGCGGACTGAGAGTCAGGCTTCAATGGTTCCTTCTTACTGTGGCCTTTAGCGGCATTCTTACGCCGTGGACTGCAAGCCAGGTGTGGCTCCGGACGAGCCAGCCATCGGCGCCCCCTCCCTCCCGCGGTCTTCTTGATGTGGTCAACACCAAACCCAGGTGGGGAGAGAGTGCGGTCGATGCAACAGAAATCTGCCATCGCTTAAGACTAATCCATGCGTAAGTCACCGAGTTTACCCTCAGCTTGTTTAAGTACGTGGTGAACATCGTCGAAATCGACCGTCGAACTGTCACCTACCACTGCTTTTTGGCTCACAGTAAATCAATGAGCACTTGTTAGCATTGTTATAAAATAAAGGATACACCGTGTTATTTGTGACTGTCACGTTGCTCCACCGTACTGCAGCGGCGTTTGTAGCAGGGACCTTCTTCTGAACCTCAGGTAGAGTAAGACATTCTAGAAATCATATATGTCATTCCTTTTGAGCATGCTTTTCTAGGATGTATCAGATTTGCAAGGCGCTGTTTTGGGGTCTTGGGAAATAATATTAGTTTGGCTTAGAAGCTGGATGTGTTCCATTCTTCATGGCGGTTCTCCGGTGCAGGCTGATCCCGTACGAGGTCCTCCCAGGCCTTCTGGTCTAATTGTAGGTGCTCGAGAAAAGTCTTCAGGGTATCTTTGTTATCATTTTTCGGCCCTGATGGCGAACATTATAACGACGCCACCGTCGATTAGGCACTTACGTAAGTTAATCCTCCATTCTCGTGAAGTGTCCGTCTCATCGCAAGGAAGGCACCAGCTTTAAGGCAATTGCAATCAAGTAGCATCCTTTTATTTTTTCCGCCATAATTTCTGCATATGATGTGTACCCGAACAATGTTATTGGCAAAGGCAACAGAGGCTGAAATGCCTACTTACGGTTCGCATTG